TACCATTTTAAGTTATGTTTGAGTCTTGTCAATATTACAAGATACTTATCATGGTGTTTATTCTCACAATGAAACTTTCATTTGGTGCTTACATCATAAGTTGGATTATTTTATTTGTTGTTACCCAATATCATGGAAACAACAATGCCATTTCATTTACCTAATATATGGACAGTTATTGATGGCTTTAAAAGACAAAAGTAATTGCAAGTTACATAAAGTTGAAGATCAAGATGCAGAAGAAGTTAAACAACAACTGGAAATGTTACTTCCTCTGGAGAAACTATGGGATAAACTTGATTTGAAAGAACAAATACAACTTTCCATAGCAGTATGCAGATCCACTTATTTAGCTGTTTTTGAATAGTTTCCCCAAGAACTTGCATATAATACACTATTTTAAATGTTTATTAAAAAGAAACAGAATTTCAAACTAGATAAATTATTTATAAGGGAAGTGTATGTCCATTTTTAAAAGAAAAAAAAATTCATCTTAATTTTTTTAAATCTTAATCTCAAAAATGCCAATTGAATGGTCACACACTGCTATGGAATATTTGATATGAGAGAGAAGGTAAAAATAAAATAACTTTTCTAGTAAACTTTCTTTTATTCTACTTACATTATTATAATGCAAAGGAGAAGAAATAGATATTTTCATGATGTGCAGAAAAGGAGTAGGGCAGAGTTTCATCAGGAAAGTGTTCTAACAATTAGAAGAGATTTATATTTAGGGTATACCACTTGGCAGTGAAAACTGTGGTGGAGAAATCTCAAAGGATCATTGTGATGTTATTCATTCTATGGAGTCAACCTTTAAAACTTATTTTTAAGTACTTATACTGGAGCATGAGAGAAATCAACTGATGAACAAAATTTGCTTTGATCACTCCAATGTATTTCTCAGTCAAGCAGCACCATCGTGTTTTCTACAAAATCTTAGAAGATATCATAAACGATGGATTTCTAAAAGAAGTAGTTCATAGTTTTGCTCAAAATCTCATTAAGAACAGTAAGGTAAGCATATTTAGGATGGGTGTCCTTAACATACAGTTGGCAGACACTGTGGTGATTCCTAATGAAGATCAGTCAATACTGTTGCTAATCATGTTCAAGAATTTCTGTATCAGTGATCTGATGAATATGCCGTCAACCTGACAACAACAGGTTGAGAAGTCTCAGGAGTTTCTTAATTACAATGAGGATCATCTTCTAGGATTACAATTGAAAACCAATTCCTATAACATATTCAAGAACATCAAGGGTCAGTTTGATGATGCATATCAAGAACTGTAAAAAAATACCTGCAAGATAAAAAACAATTTTCCAGGTAAAAAGGTTGTTGGATTTGTGATGTATCGGGTTGACCTTCACTGAGTAGTCATTAAACGCTTTGATGACCTGTAGATGTTTTATTTTAAAAAGAGTTTATTTAAAGAACTATTGATTTATAAAAAAATGATTTTTGACAAGTACATAATACACACTCCTTACTGTATTTGTTAGATTACAGCTATTATTGATTATTTATTTTCAAATTCTAATACTTTATAAAATACTGTGTTCAGTACGAATATTATACAATTTTATTTTCATTAAGTGAATTGAATTAAAGCAAGTATAAAAAACTTGCAAGTTCAAGCAATGGTTACTTTTGTAATATCAGCATTGTACATTGTATTGCTACAAAAATTTAACAAAATGGATAATAATAATAATAATAATGACAAAATCAAATTTGAAGATAGTCTCCCAGCCATAAATAAATCAAATTGTATAATGTGAAACGCGTAATATACTTACTATTGGGGTCATGTGTAAGTCCAATGGCCAACATTTTGATAATACTAACGAAAAAAGTTTAGTAATACATATTTCTTTATTAGTATGATATTGTATAAGCATAATTTCATAATATTTTTCTTTATCATTATCATTTGGTGATATTTAGATTACTTTCTGTATAAATAATTTGAATTGTGTGGCATAGGAATGTGTGATATGCATATTTCTCTTGAATGATACAGCAGAATATTTTTTTTTCAGGTTTCTAAGGCTTAATTTTTTTTAAAAAAAAACCTTTGTTTTTCAAATCACTTTTTTTTTTACTTTTTTCGGTTTTTCACTTTTAGGTTTGGAATCAGTGATCGGATCAATACTGCGGTGTGCCGGTGTTATGGTAAGTGTGTAATTAATTATTAGCTAAAACAAATTACAATAGTTTTTTTTCGTTACAAATATTTCTTTTTATGGGCAATAATGCCGTATAACAACTATGACATGAGTAATTTTAGATTGAATACGAGATTTCAGATAAATTTTATTTTATTATTTTATTGAATAAAAAAAAAAATAATAATAAGACAGTAATATATGACAAAATCTAATATTAATATATCTGTTATCGATTTAAAAAATGTGTTCGTAATAAATTAACAGTATTATTTTTTAAAAGAATTTTACGGAAGCCTTATTTTTATTACTTTAAAATCGTGTAACTATAAATTTCTATAGCGGAAAAAAAGATTTTAAGGAAAGATTATTATTAAAAAAAAAAAATAATAATACACATTTTAAAATAATAAAATTAACCTTCAAATTATTTACTGTTTTATATAAATTTTTTTTTTTGATAAAAATTACCACTCCAAATTTTAAATTTTACTACAATATCTTCAAAATCTTTGGCATAGTGATCCAGTGACTATGAAAAACTTTTTGAATCAGAAATTGGATGTGATGTTATTATTTATGTCGGACAAGTTCAAAATATCAAAGAAATTTATACTCTTTCAAATATATTATTTGCTATGTCACAATATTTCCGTTCTGCATTTTCTAATGAGTGGGCCGAAAAGATTTATGAAAAATTTATTTTCAAAAAACCAAATATTTCACCACAATTATCTAATATCATTCTTAGGCAACCCAAAATAAGTATTTTATTGATATGATAAATATATATTTATAACTATTATTTGTTTTAGTTTTATTTATTGTGGAAATATTAAATTGAAGAATTTACAAGGCTTTAATGTATTGAAATGGTTGATAAACTTATTATCCGTTCATTGATTTCTCATGTTTAAGAATTTTTGATTAAACATCAAACTGAATTTTTACACCAAAATCCAACCGTGTTATTCAATTCTGACAAATTTATCAATTTAAAAAGTATCATTGTTAGAATTATTTTTAAAAAGGGTTGATTTGAATATGAGAGAAATTGAATTTGGGAGAATTTATTAAAATGGTGTTATACTTAACAAAATTAAAGAATGATTCAACAAAATTGTGTAAAGAAGATATGATAAGGGCTGAAAGAAAGACTATACAGATTTATTCCTTTAATTCGATTTTATGATATTGAACATACAGATTTTTACAAGGTTTATTGTTACAAATAAAAACATCTTACCAAAAGATTTAATTCATGATATCATATAATTCCTAACATGAAATCTAAAATTAATTTACCACCTTCAAGAAAACTAAATTTAAATTTGATAAGAAAGAATCTTCTTATTATGATAGTAAAAATTATCCCTATAATTTTAATTATTATATTGTTCAAATCAAGATGGAATTGAAACTGAAACTTTTCATAAGAAATGTGACAATAAAGAAGCTACTTGGGTCACAAAAATTAAAGATTCAACCACTTTTTCTGTCTTGTGTCTAATGAGGATTTCACGACTGGATGGGAATTATTACAAACATTGCTGTCGTTTAAGTTATTACAAATCTTCATCTGAAGCAAGCAGCTAAAATGTTCGTTAACGAGGAGATCAGAGAACGACTTTCTCACAAAATGACGAAAAACTTCGAAAGAAGAAAGGAACGAAAGATTTATAATTGTTTATTTTAATGGTATTATTGTATAGTAATATGACAAAGTTATTGATACAATGGACCTGTTCTACCATATTGTCATTTTTAGAATCACCGAAAAAATAACCGCAGCCACTGATCACGTGATACGGTGAACTCTGTATTTTTGTCACTTATTTATTAGTAAACAGTCAAAAATGAGCAATTTTCCCCCGAGGACGCAGCATGGGTTTTTTAATCCGCCGCAATGATTAATCTTAACTATTATAGTATTATCTGCCTTCTACCATATAGTTACTGTTATATTCAAGTTTGAACACAATGCAGGGGTGATATTTCACAGAATTTGCGGTGTATTACTGTGTTACTGCAGAAAATCATCGTCCCCTCACACAATACATAATGGGTTACCTTAAAAATTTTAGTGTAGTTTTTTTAACCAATTAAACTTTATTTTGTTTACTTCACATGATCACCGCTAGTTAAAATTCTTCCTTGTACTCTTCATTTCACGAAAATTTTCTGCAGTACTAAATAAAATGAGTGAAGGTTTGGCCGCCTTTAGTATCTTTAAATAAATCCAAGAGGAACCAAAATTAAACACTCTGCCGCCATATATGATATGGGGTCCGAGTTTTTCTGAATGCAACTTACGAAAAGTGGGCTCGGGGCGAACTTTTTTTTTTCAACTTCCTTAGACTCCCAAAATGCCAATCACTAACCGTTACAGTGTAGACGGTGTAGACGCTCACTCTTCAAGATATGACCGGAAGGCTCTATACCTTTTCCATATTTATCGCTGTTAATCCAAATTATTTTTATTGTGACCATTAGGAACTTCGTAAATACCGAAAATTGCTTTATTCACAAAGCGACAAGATATCCGAAATGCCTGAAGAACCTTTGTGCGCTGAATCGCTGATTCACCATTAATATGGAAGTTTCAGATTTACAGAATAAGTTCCTGATGTTCTGAAAATCATGATTGAAGGCGTATTCTTGTTCTAAAAAAAAAAAATTAGATGATCGCTCTTCACTTCGGAGCAAGATCCGGATTATCAGGATTGTCATATTAGCATGTTGTATAACGTGTAACTAGTTCAGTGTAACGTTTTAGTATGCAAAACATTTAAAATACAAATCCGGATTTTTCTTAACACGTAATCGTAGAAAAATGATTTTTTCACGAATTTTCGTCTATTCTTTATTTTTAATGATTCTTGCTTTTATTCCTTTAGTTAAAAGCAGAGAATTTACATGTAGTTGTTGTGGAAAACCGAATAATCATTATGAACCAAAATGTCCCTTTAAAGGTAATTGTCCTTTGAAAAAAGATAAAAAGAAAGTAAAGAAAGTTAAACCTACCACTTCGTCAAGCCGGTCAAGGGATTGTAAGGGTACAATTGAAGGAAAAATTTTTCTTAAAAAAGGCGAGAAATTTAAACAATCTTGTAAATGTGCTAAAAAGGGAGATGAACGGTGTCATTTGATTGCAGATATGTTAGGTGGATCTAGAGATTGTGATAATTGTATGTCATGTTCTCACAAAATGAATACTGATATGAAAAGAATGGAGAAATTTGTTAAAAATAGTGATGGTGGAGTCTATATTGTGACTTGTGACAATTATGAATATGCCAAAATTATTACACAAATCTTCAGTCCATATAAAGGAAATCCAACAACAACCGTTATATATCGTGAATCACCTCGTGTTGAATTGTGAAAATTATAAAGTAATGAATTTTTTCGATATATATTTTCTCTTATCAATTTCATTATGGTCCAATATTGGTTATTGATATCTATGAATCATTTTAATTAGGAAAAAAATCACGCCTCCATAACCTTTTATTCATAAAAAAACTTGATAATCTCATGTGACATTAGGATAAAAAAATTTATTGAATTGCACATAATGCCGGAAAATTTAATAATGTTGGCCATGTAGCTTATTTTTGGGATTCTTTAAACTCCTTAGTCCTAATATTAGTTATTTTACTGTATATAGTACTGTACATATTAGTGCAATTTTGTATATAAATTATTTATTTATTTATTGATTATTTAACTATCTAAAAGCTTAACTCTAGTTAGTCTAGTAATATATAAAGGAAAAATATATATTGTATATAAATATATTGTCGGAATTTTAATATTGATATATATTTGTACTAAATTTCGTTAAATCTAATTATAAAAATTTAAAAAGATCACAAGAGAGTTATGTTCGGTTTTTTGTACAAAGGAAAAAGTACATTTCACCTCTTCGCGATTAAAAATAAATCTATATTTTTAGCGACAGAATGAGTACTCTATCGTGCTTTATCTTTTAACCGACTTTAGTACAAATGCAGTATCCTAATGATTTATATAACAATTATCATTATCATGTAAAGAATCGCCCTTGATTAAAAAGTTTCATAAGATTTGGTATATAGGAAGTAAAAACTAAATTTTAATTCGTCTCAAAATTATATTATATACTGCCATTCACTCTCAGATAAAAAACCAAAAGTGTTGTTAGCTGATGCCCCAAAAGGTAAGTAGAGGTCTTTATGATAAAATGCTAACCAAGCCATACCAGATACCTCAATTTGTGGGATGCTAGGGCAATAATTGACAAAGGTTTATGTACAATTACATGATTCATAAAATTGTTCTGGCGTATATAGACCAAAGTCTAGAGACAAGAAAAGTTGGATATAATGCGTCATCTTTGGCTAAGAAATTAAAAAATTTATTTATTTTCAGGTAGAGTGAGTACTATTTTATTATCAAGATTAAGTATAGTATTTCAAATAATTTTTATTACGCAATGTAGTTATTGAATTTACGTCAAGTCCGACATCTCTTGATTATTATAAGATCGAAAGACTTTCAGAATAATTCACATATTGTTACACGTGGAAAAAGTAAGTATAATTCACAACTAACGTTTTCTTTTTTAGCATCCTAATAATATATTATCAGATTTTAGAATAGGGAAGGTTGTGATAATACTGAAGTATGGGGAATAATGCCTTATATGGATCCTAGAATGCTCAATCAAACAATTCCATAAAACTAAATGAGAAATGATGATATTATTGTTTGGGAGTTTTATTCTGGGAGTTGACCATCCCGCTCGTCTCCTTTTGATCTTGAAAATAACCATATTGTATTTAAAGTACTTGGAGTTGGAGAGCCTGAACCGAACACAAATGAGATAATTACTGGACTTTATCAAAGTGTTTGTAAATTACTTTTGGAGCAATAATTACTATTTTAATTTTTTGTTTTTCTTATTGCAACCTAATTTTAGTCTATTTGAATAGGATGTTCGGAGCAGGAACTGGATGAATAACCAAATATTTCTGAAGTAAATGAACACTCAGTAGTATTGATTCTGAAAACAATAATATGTCTACCATTCCCTATTCTAGAGGAAGCGAAGAAAGTAAAAAAACAATTCGAACATTCCTGTCAAATTGATTTAAATAAACTTCCTATTTTTTTGATTTGTTTTTTATTCAAAGAGAGTATAATATTTTTTGTTACTTAATAAATATATTGAAATATGTCAAGTGATGATGGTGTGACAAATTGTGTAATAACCTATAACTAAATATAGAAAAAAAGAAAGAGTGAAGAAAATGTGTTGTTTCCATATATAATAGTATCCCTTCGTGAATGAGTTGTTATTCAATGGCTTCCAAATTCCAGTGAACATGCTATGCGTGTGGTTATAAACTCAACTACTGAGAATTTAGCTTTTGGTGTGTTTAGCGATCACCTTCTAAATTGATGAGTTTGGATCTCTCAACAATTGACAAATTCCCGAGAGTATTTGATAGAAAAAAAGATTTGATTAATATTTTTTTTATATAATAAAAAATTCCACATATACTCATAAAAAATTTGTATTATTACCCCTAGAGATGGTAATTGCTGGTGACCATTGGTCTTCGGATGATTCATTATTTTATTGAATGATCTGATTAATTTCAACTAAAATAAATTAGAATGTTATTTAATGCTCGAAATATCTCAATTGTACAAGACTGATCGTAATAGGTAGGAAGCTACTGTTAGGGAATGAACTCGTAAATATGCTAGCGAGACATTATAGGATTTTTTCTTTATTGTCATTTTATTTAAATTTTATTATCTAAACTCATACATATCTCCTATTTTAAATATCTTATTTTAAATTTAAATGTAATTATTGATCTATAAAAAGTAAAGTTATTGAATATTTAAACGAGTGGGAAAATAAATAAGCTTCTAAAAACCATATGAAATGTAAAATTTATATATTACTCGATTATTATGCTAGTTAATTATGTTATTTAAAGGTATATTGAAAATGAGACACAGTCTAAAACTCTATCAGCTCAACCAAAACATTTATTACACACAATAATTAATATTATTTTTATAAATACATTGAGTGGAATATTGGCAGTTGCAAATATATCACAGTTTTACATTTAATGATCATCAAATAAGCATAAAAAAAATTTTTTATTTATATAGAATATTCATAAATATAAATCCAATTAATCTACTGTATATATACTATAATATACTATGTAAATAAAAAAATTAAAGATAATTTATAAAGCATAATGAAAGAAAAATAAAAGTAAACTAACTTCAGTACACAAACTAGTAATTTAAACTATTTGACTCTAAACTTCACTGAAAGAAAACTTCATTCAATATTATGTTCACTATCTTGACAAATTTCATTTAGTTCTATAAAAAAAAAATAGATTAGATAAATTAGGAAATATTAGTAAATTACAAATAAATAATAACTCACCCAATTCACTTAATTAAACAATCTAAGCATTCTGAAACTGTATATTATGTATTCATAGTATTTAAATGTTAACAAATGTAAATAAAATAATTACAATAATGATAATTATGAAAATACTTACTTGGATCTGATGTTGATTGAGCAATATAATTAGCATCTATTAAAAATAAAATAACATAAATAATGTAAAGTGATTATATGATAAACAAAAATTAAATTTAATTACCTGAACTGAATTGAAAAAATGATAAATCTGATAAATCTGAAGTATTTACTGGGTTTGGAAGATTTTTAAAATTTAAAAGTCTACTAGTATAAAATGCTTGTGGGTGTGTTTGGAAGCTTTTGGATTTATCTTCATTTGACCTGTTTTTGAATTTTTCTTCTCTAATTTTATCACACTCTTTAATTTGAAAATATATTTCACTATTTTGACTATTGTTACCATTTTCACTATCTTCGCCATCTTCACCATCTTCATTAGTTTGACTATTGTCACCATTTTCACTATCTTTAGCATCTTCACTATCTTTAACAGCTATAATTTCGTCATACCATTTTGTTAATATCTGATACAATTCTTTAGTGGTTGGTCTATTTTTTATTTCAGCATCCCAACATTTTATTATCAAATCTGTAAATAACTTTGGTACATCTTTAGAAATTGTTGGCCTAAATCCTTTACATATTTTAATAGCTAAAAATTCATCATGAGGAATATCATTAAAAGGAATTTCTTCAGAAAGAAATTCATTCATTATTATTCCAAATGAGTAAACATCTGCTGCTTTTGTATATTGGTATCCGCGTAAAACTTCTGGTGCCATATATGGTAATACTCCATAAATTCCTTCTTCATTAACTGATTGCTTTATATTTACTGGTTGACACATTCCTAAATCACTTATATATGGAAAACACCTATCAAGTAATATATTGCCTGAATGAAAATCTTTGTGAACTTTTTCAGCATTATGAATATCTAAAAGTCCTCTTGTAATGTGTTGTAATTTATCAATTTTTGATTTATAATTGACGTAATCTTTAGATTTATTTAAATAATTTCTCAAATTTCCAGTTTTACAATAAAATAAAACCATCATAAACTCTTTATTACTTGGATCTTTAGTAATTCCAAAACATGGAACAATAAAATCAAGATGAATCTGAAGATGAGATTTAATCTGATTATTATCAAAAAGGAAAAATTTTATTAATAAATAAATGCAAATAACAATCCTTATATATAAGACAAAGTAAATTTAAATTACCTCATTTAAAAAATCTGAACATATATTAGAAGAATTATTCAAACTTTTCAATGCATATTTATAACTATCTCTATACCACTTTTGATTTTCAATATCCCAATATTCAATATGTCCTTCAGGCCATTCTGCTGAATAAATCTTACCAAAACCACCTTCTGCAATATAAGTGACATTTTGAAATTTTTCAAAAGGTATCCATTCAAGACAATTAAAATTATATACAGCATTAAGTTGTGATTGCTGTATAAATTCATCAATATGTTTATTTCCACTAGTCCAATTTTTAAAGTTATCCTTAAATCTTTTAGCATTACAAGTTTGACACCAATCTGCTCCTGTGCCAGGTTCTTTACATTCTCCACATATTCCATATGCTTGTCTTCTTTTTTCTAAATCTTCTATATAAACTATTCTTTCATCTACATTTTCTGATTCAATAGTTGAATCAATAGTAGAAATTGTAACATGTCTCTTTTAATAGACAAAAAATTATTAATATTTTTAACTATAAAAATTCAATAAATAATTATAATTCTTAAAAATATTAAAGTGTTATTACCTGATATTTACTATGATCAACTTTCTTCCATAAATTTTTTGGCTTTTCATCCATATTAATTAATTTTAGTTGTGAATTATAATTTTAATTTTAGTTATATAAATAAATAACTACGTCTTACTCGAAGTAAATTTCAGAATTATTAAAAGCAAAAGAAAAAAAAAATTATGAATTGAACAAAATTCAATAATTGCGCACATTTGTATTAATTACTATTTGTACAACTATTTTATACAAACATTACTATTTTTGTGATTTTGTGACAAAGAAATGCTGCTGATCATCATAAAAAGATCTAACCCGAAATGGTTAAAATGATGGAGATTCAGGTCCAAATTTAGACAAATGCTTCGTACGTTTTGTAAAGTTCAAGTAAAAAATAATTTTACTTCGTATTTTCAGTATTATTGTTTCGGTAATGTATACATCATATAATTTTTTTTTCAAAAATAAAATAGTAAAATAAATTTAGTTTGAATGAAAAATTTTAAGAAATTTATTTTAATTAAACGATAATAAAAGCTAGATGATGACGCTTGCTCATTTTTAACATAAGCTTTTTTTGTCATTATGATAGGAAAATAATTTTTCGATTAATAATAATATTTTATGATTAGTTAAATGAACCTTGTCTAGTAAATATGGTAAATGAAAGAAATGTAAGGTATTCCATAATATCCGTATAGAGTAGTTATTATTACGAAGGTGACCAACATTGAAGGATCGTAAATTTGTTGCATATCCGTGAATCAATAATAATTTTGAAAATGTTATTATGCAATTTTAGATTGTGTAAATTTAAACAAAAAGAAAATCTATTTATGTTTTTATTTTACGATATTTTATCTTTATATCGTGAAACCATGACAATTGTATCTTCCATGAGGCGTAAAAAATTAAGAATGAATAAAGTGTAAAAATTATGCTCAAATAGTAAATGTTTCTTGTATTGACAAATCATAAAAATATTAATAAATGTTTTTAAAAAAGACAATCTCCCTACAAAAAATTTTACCGTTATTTCTGTAAAAACTCTGTAAATATGAGCCTTTCATGGATATCAATTCCCAATATATATATCATTTGAATTTTATAAAGCTTTTATCATATAAATAAAGTACATACTGTACATACATAATTATGGATTTATTAACATTTTGACTTCTATTTATTCTTTTTGTACCTGAAAGGATATAATACATAATCTTAATCACTGAAATTACTATGAAAATAATGATTAACTTAAGTAAAGTGTACGTAATAATTACCATTACCGAAAAAAAATTCACTATTATATTATTCCTTTTAGAATAATGAAATTATGTAGAAAGAAGAGCATCTTTTATTAGTTTTTTCTTTTTAAGGCTTATCTAAATTAAAACAATAATTTCAATAATAATTATAATATTAGTACTTTAATATACGCTAAAATATTCACCAAAAAAAAAAAATACTTTTTTAAATATTTCAAAAACCCGAGATTTCCCAGTGTTTTTAGAAAAAAAAAGAGGTATTTCAAGTTGAGAAATCAAAAAAAACTCCAGTTTTTAAGTTTACTATTTTTCCAAAATTGAATTTTTTGGGTTCAACTCCGTAATCATTTTTTTGATACACTCCTTCATTTTGAAACGGCTATAAATCATGGTATTAAATGAGTCTTTTACTTGAATACTCACAATTATATCAATATTATTATCATTAGGTAGAACAAAAAAAATTTCCTTTTAACGAAAATTTTATTTTTTATTTTTTTTTTAGTGGAAAGTTTTGATGTAATTTTCTTTCTAACAATAATAATCAAAAGAATTTAATATAATTTTTTTCATGGAAAATAAATAATTTTATTTACTTGCCTAATTATTTGTAACCAAATCTTATTAATAGAGACAAATCTAATTATACGAGATTTATAATAATAATTACTAAATTTATTTTTTTAATTAGTATAATGTTAAATTTTTTTTTATTTGTCTAATAATGTGCTTAATCTATAATATTATAAAGCCATCATTACAGCATTTGAACCTTAAAAAAAATCTCCTGTCAAATTTTATTACTTGTAGAATTAAAAAAAAAATTGTTGCTTAATTAGAAAAACATATTTTTTATTTTTATTGAACAGTAATAGTTAGCGAATACAAATTTTATAAACATATCAGAAATGAAGAAGTAAAATAAAAAAAAGAACTAAACTATCAGAAGAATCTACTTCGACGGTGGGGCAATTAAATACGAAACTATTAAAGATATAACCAACTACACCTAAAAACCATTTCTTTAATTAACCCACTACCTCCCATACACTAGCCGAAACTTGGTAAGTTGAAGCCCGCCCTGCAGAAGAAAGTAAAATTGACCCTATAAAATTATATAAATCAAACTACTAAAATCTACGATGGCGCTACGAAGTAAGATTAGTATAAAAATCTATTATATTTTTACCAAAATAAATGTAATTCCTAACACTATCTAAAGAATCATAATGAATATTATTAGTATAACTACTATTATTACTAGGTAATGAATGAACGCTTTTGAATTCTAATTTTTTCTTTTTAGTTAATCCTATAGAATGTTCAAATTCCTTCAAATGCGAACACCTTGGAATCCAAACTTCTTCGAATATAGCATTAAAAATAAACTGTCTCATTTGAACCAAAACATCAACAACATTTTTCTTTGTAGTCCAGGAATTCAATAATTCTGAAAGAGACATAGGTATAATACCTTTAATCAAGTCAATAAAAGTAAACACGTTAGGATCATAAGATATATCCCATATATCAAGTGCCATAAGAGCATTAAAATCTTGTATATTATCATTATATTCTAATATCCAAGTTAAGAGATGATAAATAGTCTTATCTCGAATGTTGTTAATAATATCATAATAACCACTACACGTCCAGACATGATTAAAGGTTTCATCTTGTAGACCACATATAGGGCACATCCAACCATCATATAAGTCAAACAATGATTTCTTCATCTGTTCAATTGTAGGAATTTCTTCAATTAACAAGTGAACTTTTTGAGCTTTCGTTTTAGAAGAAGAAACAGAAGTTTCATTGTTATTTATGTCACAATTTAAACAACTAAATGTGAATGTCCAGTCGACTTCTAGCGTGCGATATTTAGAATTTCTATTCAAATTAATAAATTTTTCTAAACCTTTGTAGTTGCATATATTTTTCAAAAATGAGCGCAGCTTATTTTCAATAATAATTCCATTCCAACAAGGAAGAACTTTCATCATACAAGCATTCTGTCGTAAAACTATATAGCGATCTTGATCAGTATGTGCAATTTTCGCCAAATTATCTACATAATTATTACCCATATCATCACCATGAGCAACAACCTTAAACATTTCCACATGCAAGTTCAATGTTAATATGATTCTACATAAAATAGCCCATAAGAAATTATTATTAGCCTTAAAGTATTCACGTGAGGTTTGAGAAAATCTTGACTTCTTCAATTTTTCAAATTGAGTAATCACGTTAAGCGAGTCTGTGTTAATTCTAACTTTACTATTTTTTGGAACAACGCTTAATGCTAAAAGAACAGCTAACAATTCTCCTCTATATGCAGAAGGCAATTTATCAATAGTAGAATAAAATTCGACATGAGGTATATCAAACAAATCACTAATCTGAGCGAAGGAGCAACTGATACTACACTGCTCAGTACCTAATTCGATTAAAGATCCATCAGTGTAAAATTCAAAAATATAATAATTGTTATTGTCAAAAGGAGCTAATGTTCGTTGTATAGTTAACAAGTCATTTCTTGAAGTTGAAGAATCTAATAAATCTAAAATTATATTATCTTGTAATTGTGAAGAATGAGAAATCACGTGATTTTGTGTTAACGCTTGATTTATAATATCATATTTCTTTTTTGCAAAATCAAAAATGTCAAAAATATTAAATTCTATTAAGTTTGTAAGTTGACTAGGCGCAAATTGAGAATCTGTTAATAATGGTACTAAACATTCCCAGTCAGCAGAAAACGTACAAGGTGATCGAGTTGATAATGATGCATTAGCAGCACATCCATATTCCATACATTGATATATATAAGTATGTGTATCGGTACATCGAGACATATCAATATGAAAATGTTTAATAACAGGTCGTTTTGTTTCATCTATTCCTTGAATCTTTCCAATGACTACAGAGTTAAATTGTGAATTATAACATGCAACTAAAGATCTATTTTTTTTAGTAATATCATATGATCGAGTCTCTTCCACATTATCAACACGAGCGCCAAATAATTGTGTTATATTATGATTCAAATGAACACCATCTGAAGTAATTAAATTTCTAATATCTGAATACCATTTAGTTTCTTTCCGTTGTGAAAAAATAGGAATATAAGCCTTAATAAGTATTTCTTTCCATAACAATAAACGAAATTTATCACCTGAAATAATTTGATCTAAAAATAAGATATTCTTTTCACGAAGTCTCTTCCTATGTTTAGAATAATATGCATTATCTACCACGTCTTCCAAAGGAATTTTACCTCCTTTAATTGATGGAAAAGTATTATCATCTAAATTTTCTAACGAAATATTATTATCATAGCATAATAAAAGCATATTAAGAATATAATTATTTTTTCGTGTATGCGGAACACGATTATAAGGAAGTTTTTCTATCAATGGGCGTGATGTCCATAATTGATCCTGTAAGGATTTTAAACGAATTTCAGTAATTTTTCCCAATAGACCATTGTCATTAAGTTGAATACAAAAATCAGTAATTTTGGCTTGAAGTTGATTGTCGTAAAAATCTCTATATCCATATATATAAGGATTATCGAGTATAGCGTTAGGCGCTGAACGAGCGAATTTTAATTTGTTTTTAAACATCCTTCTAAAAGGAATAATTAAAGATTCTGTTTGTGTTTTTGATAAAGCCATAACTTGTGACCAGTATTCAACTCGAGGAACGATAATTCTATTAAATATATATAAAATATGTTTATCAGTAATCTTCTTTTTATACATAAGATTAACTAAATGGTCTATTTCATTCTTGATCTTGAACATCAAATAATTTCCATCATGTTCAATATTGAAATATACTCCCAGGATACGCATAGGTTCGTGTGGATGTTTGGCTTTAATATTAATTTCTTCACGACCAAACTTGATTGAAA